GCATTAACCTGGAATAACTTTTATAGAAAATCCCGAGTATCTTTTGGGTATATGACGCTAAACAGCCATTATCTTTCAAAATGCCTTTTCATGTTGTTTTCTAACTCTAGTTTATGGGGGACTATTTGCAAAATGCAGGAACTTTTGGGAGTTTCTACAAAATGCAAAAGTTTTTGGGGGTTTAGTGCAAATTTAGAAGTTATTGGGGATTTATTGCAAAATGCTAAAAGTTCTTGGGGTTTTAGTGCAACTTACACTTACTTCACTTATGTCAATATCTGATGCGTGACTATTATTCATACGAGATTCCTAATTATATGACCACTCGCGATTGATAATGTTGCTTAATAAGGAAACTACATTATTGAAATGGGTTTTTACATTAAAATTATTTTTACTTTTGACAAAAATTACTACTTACAACCTTTGAAGTTTTTTTTAACCAATGCCATCTTCACTTGCTAACATTTTTGCAATGCCATACATATTTGTGTTTTTAGCCAAAAAACATGCGAACAGACCATTTTACCCTGTAACTAAGACACATACTCTGCAAGTATGTCCTAAATAATTATAAACTTAAGGGTTTTTCAATTTTAGTCCTCAACTCTTTCATATTTTGAAATTAGCCCCTCAAATCCCGCCCCCCCCTCTCAATCATGAACTTCCTTATCCTCATCTCCGCCTCAATCCTCCCGCAACCTAACCCAATCTCCCTCCACATCCTCCTCCCTCCTTCCCAATCCAGAGGAAAAAAAACCCCAATTCCTCGCCTAATCCTAACCTCACGTCACCTCCAATCTTCATCCCCCTCTCAATCTCAACGAAAAAAACTACCTCAAACCCTAGTCAAAGAAGAAAAAGAATCGATAAATCGCCACTTGTAGCTCCTCCGGCGAGTGATGATGCTGGTTAGTTGAAGTGAAAACAATTTGAGGTACTAGTTTCAAAACTATGTATGATTTGGTCTAATACAAACATGAAAATTTGAGGGACTCAAAATAAAAATGTTGTTTTTATAATTAATTCCAACACACGTGCTTTGCACGTGTTAAGGGTGTTGTGTGGATGGGGGGGAGGTGGGTTGGGTTGGGGGTTGAGAGAGAATTAACAGCTAGATATTTTACATAATAGATTGGGGATTTACAAGAAACTTTCATGCAAGGGAGGCGTTAAAACAAACATTTAGTTTTAATAAGTCCATTGTAAAATAAATTTTATCAACATAAGTTGTTCACGTTATTCTTGAAAAAAAGTAGACAGAAACAATCTAAATAAGGCAAATACTTAACTGGCCCTTAACCTCTTCATCTCCCCTCAATCCTCCCCAAACTCTAACCTCATCTCCCCTCAATCCTCCTCCCTCCTTCCCAATCCAAGGAGGAAAAAAAACCCCAATCCTCCCCTAAATCCTAACCTCACCTCACCTCAATCTTCCATCCCCCTCCAATTCAAGAAAAAAACCTACCTCAAAACCCTAGTCAAAGAGAAAAAGATCGATAAATCGGCCACCTTGTAGCTCCCTCCGGCGAGGATGATGCTGGTTAGTTGAAGTGGACAACAATTTGAGGTACTAGTTTCAAAATATGATGATTTTGGGGTCTAATACAAAACATGAAATATTTGAGGGACTAAAATAAAAATTGTGTTTTTTATAATTAATTCCANTAGATATTTACATATAGATTGGGGATTCTACAAGAAAATTTCATGGCAAGGGAGGCGTTAAAACAAACATTAGTTTTAATAAGCATGTAAAATAAATTTTATCAAACATAGTTGTTCACTATTTCTTGAAAAAAAGTAGACAGAAACAATCTAAAATAAGCAAATACTTAACTGGCCCTTAACCCCTCCTTAATCTATCAAACACAAAAAAATTATATAAGAGTTATACTTAGTTAACCCCCTCCATAATTTGCCAAAAATAAATAAATAAATAAAATAAGGTTAAGATAACTTCTCTAGAGATGTTAAAATGAGTTAACTCCTCTAAATGAAGGTTTTACGAATACTTTTACTTAGGCAAGTCAAGAGATAATCCCTTTACTTATAAATAAAATAACCAAAATCATCATTATTTCAAACATTATCTATATCCATATCCATACTATATATAAAAGAGGATTGCCTTGTCAAAACTTTTGATTTCAAATTTTGCTCTTTTAAGATTAATAATTACCAAATATGTCATTGGTTGTAATTAATCATTCACTAATTATATATAACCTCTTATTAATTACATATTTTTACTTTTTCAAAACCTTTGGTCATACTATTATTTTTTTAGTTAATTATGTTATTTAATAGAAAATTTTGAAATTTATTCCCAATTTATCTTCACATAATATTTAAAATTCTAAATACTTAAAAATAAAAAAAATTCATTAGGCTTATGCCTTACACCTTTGGGTTTCACCTCTTATGGAGGATCATTTGTTACCTACATCTTATTAGCCTTTTAAAAGTTTGATAATAGTATTATAGTTGTAATAGTATTGATAGTATAATAATTTTAATAATATTTTTAAATTAATAAATTACACTGTAGTTTAATAATTATACAACTTAGTAAATTATTTATTAATAGTATATTAAACTAATTATTAAATTAAAATGTAGTTACCAGTAGTATTATAATTATGCCAAGTATGATATTATCATATTTTAAAAAGAAGAAACTATTTAATATATTATAATTATTTTAATAAATTATGAATAAATTGTAATAATTATCTAAGTTGTAATAATTAATCATAGAGCTATTTATACATAGTTTTGTCGTACAATTTAATCATTTAAATAAATTATAATTGTTTAGAATTTATATTGCTATGTAAATTATTTCAATTTTTTGTAGACAAAAAAAAATTGAAGAACATAAAATAAGCAGGTATGCCCTCGTGTAAAACACGTGCACTATCCTAGTAGTTAAAAACGATCATACGCGTTACCATAAATTTAATTAACGGGTTAAAAATTTAAACATTCCATTTTTTCAATTGGCTAACTAATTAATTATTTTCCTTAATCTCTCTGTTCCAAGCCATTGCTAATGGGACGTAAAGTATTTTGAAAATTATCCCTCAAATAATCGATAGTCTCAAGTCATTGCAATATTTTGTTTACAGCCAACCACTCCCCTCCTCTCAAGTCGTTGCAATATTTTGTTTACAGCCAACCACTCCCCTCCCCGAGGTAAATAAACAAACAAACAAATAAACAAATATTATGATCATCATTCAGTATTATTCCTTGTATGAAAAAGAAATTAGTTTTAAATTTCAACTAGACCGAATCGTTGTGTCATCTTAAAAATCCTTCAAATCGAAATTACGATGAGAATTGAGAAATATAATTTAATATCCTAACATTTCTAAATGATAAAGTTCTGTGAGGACTGCAACTCATTAAAATTACAGGAAAAAAAAAAAGAATAGAGAGCACTAGGTAA